TGGCAACCAGTCTACCTCGGAACGAAATGGCAACCTAATCAGTCATGAATCGAAAGAGACATGATCGCCCAAGCGTATATCACGTATTTTGCCCTTACCTGACTGATATATCGAAAGGCTAGGAAGTCTGTCTCCAAACTTAAATAATAACGAACCTCGTCATAATGAAGTCAATAAAGCCAGAAAAACTTAAAAAAATATAAAAAATAAAACTGCAGTTGATAAGATAAAATTTTGAAAGTAGCAGTTCCTAAATTCAAAAATAAGTTTCATAAGGATGCAATCAAAAGCATTTCGCGAAGAAGTGTGCGGTATATCACGCATTAATTCACTGGGGAAACAGATAGGTAACCCCTAATATCCTTACACGTACAGAGTTATCTCAATTTGGTCCATTATAGTGAAAGTAGTAATGAATATTTTACTAACTAGACATTCATCATTTTATGAACTTCTAACGACCCAATTTGGCTTTCATTCTGGTAAGGGATATAATGATGGCATATATGTCACCAAAAAACTCCAGAAAGTTGTATATCTGACATATTGATCTCACAGCAGCCTATGACCGCACCAAACTGGAAATTTCATGACACCCGTAAATTCCTTGATCGGATTGAGGAATTGTATCCATTTACAAAGTCGTACCTGTCTGGTGAAAATCCACTCACTGAATCATTTCAAACTTCTACAGGAGTGTGACAAGGAGGAAATGAGATTCCTAATCTGTTTAATCTGTTCCATGTCTACGCCCCGAGCATGTACAATAACAGATGTAAAGAAGTTGGCCTTGATCATTTAAATATTCCGTTCCACGTTCCAGACGAATCTACTAATAGAAGATAGCGTTCCTTTTTTCTTTCCAGAGTCCAGTCTACAAAGGATGAGGTGGTGTATTTATAGTTCGTATAAGAATGATCTTAAACAAAAAAAAAATCGGCGCTTCTTTACCAACTGTTTCAAGATGGAGAACTTACGATAAACCTTCCCAAAACGGAAACCGTGATCTGGAATTGGAATGAAATTAATGATGGCAATTCCGAATATGTGGAATTAGTACACTCTAAACAATTCAAATAGCTTCGTTTTTAGATAATTTGTAAGAAATATATCGTAGGAGAAAAGTTAATTGAACATAGAATAGGTTGCACTATGAATAGTTTTGTCAAACACAACAAAATTCTGCAAAACCAAAATATTAAGAACTCGAGTGATGACTTTAAATAGCCAAGTCAGATCTAAACTGTCACTCATATGAATGTCATGTATGGCATCCAAATCCTTCAGAAATCTCTAAACTATATACAACAGTTTTCTCAGGACAATGATTAAAAATGGTTTCAAACGAATGAAGCCTCTATGTCAATCAGACTTTCTAGACTGGCGCTTTAGAATCTCAAACAAAGACCTTTGCCAAATAACAGAAACTACATCGCTTGAAGACTTTCAGTTGCATCAACAACTCTAATGGATATCACATGTAACAAGAAGGGACAACAATTATATATTCAAGACCTTGACTTTCTAAACTACGTTAAAAAAACGGTTAGGAAAGTAACACAAATAAATACGGGAAACAGTGATAACAGTGAACATGAGAAACATATTTTCTTAAGAAAACATTTTTAAAGAGATTTCAACCGATATTAACGCTAACTGACGTCATTGAATAGCGAATGTTTCCTGTATGGAAACGGCTAATTTTACCATTACTATTACCTAGAGGGACACATTACCAAAAGGGAAACATACCAAAATAGTGTAGATTAGGAATAAAATGCAAAGAAAAAAACTTTGTTGATGTTCATTATAAATCTATGAACAACGAACCTCTTTCTTTTAATGATGATTTCTGTTGCACACGTCGGCATCCTGCGAAATATCTGCGTAAACTTTCAATGAACGGTAAAAACGAGACGCCATTTAAAAATCATTTCAGCTGACTCAGTTACAAAAGCTTTAACATCTTTCTTTTTTCAAAATATTATTATAAAAGATTTATATTTGAGTCAAGATAAACTTCTAATGATGTACCACTGGAAATGGGAATGTGGAAATGCAGTGAAAGATTGTGTATAGAATTGTAGCCCCTGATTTCTCTCTTTCTCTCTCTATATATATAGCCACGTGAAAAGATGACACTTCTTTTCACCCTTAACCGCTCCTCACGAGCATTAGCTGGGTCAAGCGAGGATATGGGGATTTAGTATATAGTAATTTTTTGAGCCTAGAATGAATTCTCAACAGAAATTTGGGACTCACCAGCAGTGCGCATCCATTACTGAGAATCGAACTTGGATCGTTTCAATACAACACAAACGTCATACCAACTGTACCACGGGCCTTGGTGACGAATAAGAAAATAATTAGACTCCGATATAGCGCCGCTACTCACTTAGTTCCGTCGTGATTCTCCTCCAAGTATGCGAATATCCACAGAACAGTGCCCCAAGAGCCACCAGTGCTTTCTGCATTCTGTTTAGGATTATTCTAGGCTCGATGAATTACTATATATGATTGCTCTAAATTCTCCAAAATTTCTTCTCTCTCTCTCTCACACACACACACACACACACACACACACACACACACACACACACACACACACACACACACACATATATATATATATATATGCAAATATAAAAAATTAGGAGATCAGATATAATAACATTTCCAGATCAAAAAAGCCTTTTGAATCAGAAATCGGAAATTATAACTGTATGCATACTAAAAAGTTCCTTCTGAGTTCATATGAAGTGGGATGAAAAGAAAGCATGTATATTTCATTTACCCACCTCTTCCTCCTCCTCACATTTCTCACGGTCTGCGCTTATTCATTTAGTTTTTTTTTTACTTTTTTAAAAATATAGCGTTTATAAGTTAGGAAATCAATTGACTAAAATCGCCCGAAGATACCAAAAGGTTGAAACCAAGATAGCAGAATCGACTGATTTTCTAATATTTTATACTTAAAAACTCAACATGTTAAATTTTATCTTTTTATATGTATATTGAGCACTTTTAATATTACTGTTTCCCTGATCTAATTCAACTCTGACCATTAACTTTATTATTATTATTATTATTATTATTATTATTATTATTATATATATATATATATATATATATATATATATATATATATATATATATATATATATTTACGGTGAGAGAGAGATTCAGTTTTACATATTTACTCTTAACTAACAATACGTTATTTTAATGCGTATTCTAAATTTTACAAGTAATTAACTACTAATAAAATCGGTCATTTGAAAATCTTGCTGAAAATTAGAGAAGAAATGTTTTATGATCCACGTGAGTGATACATTTTTACGTGATTTTAAAGCTGATATTTGCTGGTTGTGTGGTAATTTTGGGCTCAAGGCTATATTTTTGCAATCTTTCAAAACGAGCAGATTAAACACTGGACTTTGGTTAGTGTTAGAAGTATTAACAAAATCTGGATATATTTATATGCAATTATGAAATTTTCCAGTTTTTCTCGGCTTTTAATTGTTTGCGGTTTGGAAAAAATATCCGAAGATGTACGTTCCAATCAAAGTGATTCCTGGGAAGGTTCGGCATGGAAATACATCTTAGTCATCATATATGGATAGAAATTAAATAAAATGTAACTGCATTGTTTTTACATATATTAGGTAAATGTTTCCAATTTTAATTTTTGTAAAACCCTTAGGAAATCTAAAGAATGCCGTTGGAGTTGATTGTCTTTCGGTGAATACACTTTAAAAAATATTTGTGCAAAAGTGATCATTTTTCATTTTTGTGAATTTACGGCTGAATATAAAAATACTGATTTGTGACTGCAATATTTTATCCGCGGGAGGGAAAGTGAAACAAAGCAAAGTGATGATAAAGCAAATGCAATCACATATCGGAAATGGCTTGTGAAATTTTTGAAATGGTTCTCAGCTCAAATAATACTCCAGAAGACTTCAGACCTTGAAAATTGATGAACTGAATGATGAACTTCTGCTGGAAGATACTGCACAAAATAACACGTAAACTTGCTGAGACATAGAGGAGAACGAGTTAATTTGTTTCAATGGCGTATTGGGAGAGAAAATACCTTTATTGAGCAAAAGGGAATCGATCGGTTGTGTCAAAAATGTAATACAACAAACGAATCTGCAGTTCCTATGAGAAATTGTTCCTTGTGCGACTTATTTTCCAGTGTCGCAGTGTCTGGTCAGCGGTTCCAAATATAATGAAAAATTTCATGAAGAATTCATCGAATCATATCTTTTATGGTGGAATATTGAAATACGCAATTTATCTGAAAGATGTCATAAGGTCATAGAAACAAAATCTGTCAATCTATTTTAAAACCCCGATTTCACGTCCTTCGATTTAAGGAATATCGGATTTAAGAAATCACTCGTGGATCAAATGGGCCATAACGAACTGAGTTTTTATTTTTAATGGACAAAGTTACATAAATGCTAGAAGAAATTACACCTTCTAGGTACATGACAACCTTGTTAGCTGGAAATTAAAAATCTTATCGATTTCAGCTAATTTTAAAAAGTTTTCATTATAAATGTGAAACCCTGCTTGGCAACAGTGTGTGTGTGCGTATGTGTGTGTGTGTGTATATGTGTGTGTGTGTGTGTGTGTGTGTGTATGTGTGTGCGAGAAAGAAAGAGAGAGAGAGAGAGAGAGAGAGAGTGAGACCCATATCAATGTTTTGTCATATTTTGATGGGTAGTCAAACAACTACTCTTATGGACAGTATACTGAAGAAGAAATCAGTTTGGGAAGGACATCTATAGCAAGACTTCCAAAAATTATAAGCAAAGAAATGTATGTATGATTCTTTTATTTGATATTTTATACAGTTTTACATAACACTGGTCATTTGCGTGCTGTCATGCATTTAACAAAACGTTTACTAAATGCAGAGGTTGACAGAACTTGCTTTTTCTTCACAAAATGAGGGAATATATCTAATGTAAGGAACTATCGAATTTAAGGAACATATCCTTCTCCACAATTCTTATTCTATCTATCTATCTATCTATCTATCTATCTATCTATCTATCTATCTATCTATCTATCTATCTCGGTTTATTTATTTCTTTATTTTCTTTATATCTGTTTTGCCAACTTGAAAGATAGGTGCTACACAATGTTCATATTCTCTTAATTAGCCATAACTGAGATGAGCTAAGTAAACACGCATACGGGTATTCGTGCGAGAATTAACATGCACCATATTTTGTTCTTTCTCTCTCTTTCTCTCACCACAAAGACAAACATAATTAATGCACACACACACGCGCGCGTGCACGCGCCTATATAATACACATTGATAAAATATATAAGTGCTTATAAACAAAACCCAAACCCATATTTTTATAAAAAGTACATCAATAATTTACATAAAGAAAGTCTTATAGTTTCGTGGGCATGCGTGGTAAGAACGTGTTTGAAATTTGGAATAAGATCTTTGAGGCTTTGTCCTGAGTAGGTTTTATCTTTTGTGCGATTAAAACTAATGCGCCTTGTCACAAAATCTGAATGGTTGACTGCGTTAAATGCTGGAACGCCAAATAGAATTCGTTACTTTTAGAAAAAAGTGGAAAATGGCTGGTTGGGTGTCTTACAGGCAGGACAGGCAAGGAAATTGAAAATGTCTTTAAAAGGCTGAGACATGTACAGTGGGAGAAACGATATCGTTCCTTGCAGAGGAAGTAGAAATCAAGTTTCGTCGATTATATCAAAAAATTGTTATGAAAAAACTTCATTCATGATTTATTGATTGGAAGATTTTATATTAAAGCCAAAACAAAAAAAAATGTGATTTGGAAGACTTGGTGATTAAAATTGAGAAATTGTTTTTTTTATGCAAGCCGTTCTATTTTAAATGTGATGAGGTTATACCATACATCAATTTTATAGTGTTTTAATTTGAATAAATACAAATTAATAAAATAAATGGATGTGTGTGGGCCGTTTAATGAGTATCAGCTCGAGGCACCAAGTTCAAATTTCAGTCGAGTTCATTACATGACACAATTAAACTTGGGAAAGGTATGAATCTATCTCTTCTCCATTCAGCTATGTGTTGAATAGATTCTATATTTTTCTGGATTCTATAGGCTTCATTGACCACCAGTCTATTGCAGAAAGAATTGGCAAGCTACTGCGGGAAAATCTTCAAACGCTCTCATCCCACATGCCTTGAGCCAACATGGAAGAGCAAGCTCATAAAATTAACATGAGAATAATATCTCATGTTGATGCGTAGTCTGCAGCAAGCGGAATAAGCATTTTTTAGAATAAAACAAAATTGATTAGGTTCATTAAAACTTTGCAGACTGTGTGACATGGAAGTGGAAAATTACACACGTGCGCCATTTTAAATTGGTCTCTCAGATGCATTGGTGTCAAAGTAGGATGCATGGACTTGATATCGAACACAAATGGTACGGCCAAAAACAAGAGAAGGTGATCGAAAATGATCACGTTCTGATTTTATGGGATTTCAAGATCCAAACAATTCTCAGTGTTGGGACCACCAACCAAACATCACTCTCGTTGTAAAGAAAAAAAAAGAAGAGAAAAGAAAAGACAATGGATCTTCATTGATGTGATTGTTCCTGCTGACTATAATATCAAAATCAAAGAAATTGACAACTAATAAAAGTACACTTACTTTGGGATTGAAGTTGCCAGAATGTGAGTCGTTCAGGCCATTATTTTCCAGTTATTATTGGGGCGTTGGAGTCTATGGCCCCTGAATCACAATAAAGGCTAATATCCCATAGCTGCGTTGTTTGGTTCTGCAAATATTCTACAAAAGGGGATACCTCTTTAAGGTTGTACGAGAACAACCATAATAAATGATTTCCGGTTGAAAAAAATTGCGAAAGAAGAGAATAATAATAATAATAATAATAATTTCTGACACCAAAAAATGTTGCTTCTTGAAGTCGCTGATTGAAAGTTGGAGGTAACTCGTACTACACAGACTAACTTGTACAACAACAACAACATTATTATTATTATTATTATTATTATTATTATTAATGGAAGTTTAATTATAAGCTATTAACCATTTTATTATTGTTTGTTATAATTAATACTTTTAACGAATGAAACGAAAAAATAAAATTGTTAATATATATATATATATATATATATATATATATATTGTATACTTGGCAGCAGATTCTCTTTTAGGCATGTCTGATTAAATAAATTGCAAACATTATGTCTACTTACTTTTAGCATAATCCTTTCATATTCACGAATATTTTTCCGTGTATTACAATCAAATGAGGCAAGTACTTTCCCAAGTACTTTCCATCAGAAAGTAAATATGAAAGGATTATTCCAAAAATAAGCAGACACAATGTTCAACACACACACACACACACACACACACACACACACACACACACACACATATATATATATATATATATATATATATATATATAACGGGTGTAACAGCAAGATTGGCGAATTGTTAAATTAAGCTTCGAACCGTTGTATTGTAGAAATGATTAATAATATTTTACTGGAATTCTCCGAGATTTGTATAACACTATTGGGCAATAATTTGAACAATAAGAATATATTTAGCTCTAAATTGAAATTATGATCCCTCTTGCTGTTGTGACCTCCTGATCCAGTTTTCCTCTCTACTGTTCCTTCTTTTTAAACTTATTCACCGTTCTCTTGATGGTTCTTGAATGGACTTTGCAGATGGAAGTCAGAGAATGAATGTTGGCACCCTTATTGAAGGCCGGAATAATGATCGTTTTCGTCTCATCATTGCTCAGTTGGTAAGACATTGTGGGGCTGACACAAAATGATTTTTAGCCCAATACCTCAAAGGGTTTTTCAGGGATTCTTATAACAAACAATTTGTCATAACTACAAACGTTAATTTTAGTGGGTACACGTGTTTGAATTACTATCCCATACTATACTGAACTATATTAAACATTGAAATTTATGTCAACCGGCCAAGATATGAAATTTTTACTAAAGTAAATTGTGCCTCCCGACATGAATCGAACCTGTATCCCTCTTCCTACTGCTAGAGCCGCAGTGTACCATTAGCAATTTGGCCACATGAAATTATCTTGATTAGGCACTTCTATCGTCGAAGCGTACCGTTACCAATTTGGTTTTATAAAGTAAAGTTCAATTACTTATTTATGGAAATATCTCTCTCTGGGAGTTCTATGAATCTATGTTTCCTAGCTTCATTTTAGTACCTGATAAAATGATTGTTTATGTTGTAGGTACAAAAATGAAGCTAGTAGATATAAATTTGTAGGACTCCCAACGACAGATGTTCCTTCCTTAAATAGGTAAATCAAACATTATCAAGATTGCTTCACATGGCCAAATTGGTAACGGTACGCTAGGGATGATAGAAGTGGAAAAAGGAATACAGGTTCGATTCTGGCCGGGAGGCTTATTTTTCTTTAGTAGTAATCTAGATCGGATATTATTAATTTTCCCTTTTTAAAAAAATAAAAAAAACAAAAACAACCCCCCCGCCAAAAAAAAAAAAAAAAAAAACAAATATAGCAACTCAAGCCCGTGTAGCCACTAAAAGAACATTTTGAATAATAAAAAATAAGGTCGAAATAAAATATCCATGAGAAAATTATGGTATTTACTTTTCAGGTATAAAAAAGAAGCTAGCAGATGTAGATACGATAGATGCCCGCGTTCCTTACATAAAGAAGTTGAACTTGATTTTACCAAGACGGTCTCACGTGGCTAAATTGTTAACGGAACACTTAGGTTGATAGGAATAGTGGAAAAGGGGATATAGATCCGTTTCCTGTTTGGAGTCATTTTTTGAAAATAGTCGGGTGTCACGAATAAATAATCTCTTGCCAGAAAGAATGAAATGGAAACAGTACAATTATTAATGTAACTAGGAAACTTAATCTGCATAGGCTATCGCGCGGTTTATCAAAGATTACGAACTAAAGAGCTAAACATCTCATACAAATAGTAGATTTCGGACTTGTTTCCCTAGTAATTTTGATGAGCACGCTTCTTTACTTGATCTATCCCTTGCTCCTCTCCAGACTAATGTCGTGCTTTACAACTTGGTCCTCTTGGCAACTCTGACTACTTGGTATTGTATGCAGATATTAGGCAAGAATCCCCTATTAACAGGGCATTTTTGTTACCAATGCACTGATTGGGATTCTTCGCGACGGCCCTTGGAATTAGATTTTTAATCTTCTGTTCTGTACCATTGAGATTTCTTTATGGATGAAAACCGCTATTGAAACTTTTGTCCCAGAACGGAAATACAAAGCGAAACCACAGAGTCGTCTTCCTGGTCCACTTCCGCCTGTTCAGCCGCTATATCCCGCTGAGATCACTTCTTCCGGCTTTACCAAAATGATAATTTGGATCATAACAGATGTCTCATTGTATCTGTTTGTAATGAGTGTAAGCGTATCCTCAGCAAAAATTATCGTTGTATTAGTCTCTTACCTCGTTTTGACAAAGTAATAGAGGCTCTAATCCGAATTGTTTAAGTATCTCACTTCACGCGGCCTTCTTTCAGATAAACAATATGGTATTCGTTTCTTTAGGTCAACCGCCGATGTGTTAAAGATTATTTCCAAATTTGCCCAGCAGGCTTTAAATAGGAGCGGCGAGGTTTTAGAGGTTTTAGATATCTCGAAGACATTTGACATTGTTTGGCATGTTGGCCATCTCCACAAACTTAAGGGCTATGGTGTCTCAGGTCGGATATTCGACTTAATCCAATCGTTTTTGACAAATCGTGTAATGAATGTCGTGTTGAACGGCCACACATCTATATCCTTTCATATTAAAAGAGCTCTATACATGGACCTACGCTGTTTTTCATCTTCATTATCGATCTTCCTGATGTCACCATTTCCCAACTAGGTATTTATGCCGATGACGCAACTATTTGCTCCTGTCCTGGTTGGTCCGATAAAGTAAATTGGTAGTTGCTCTCGAAAATGACATCCAACCAGTTGTTAACTGGGGCAAGAAATGACTTGTAAATTTTGGCGCCTCCAAAACGAAACTGCTATTTTTTGTCAT